AAGACAGCTTAGGTAGCAAAATTTCCGGGTCAATTATACCGAAAGCATTTTGTAATCTAGCAGAACTAAACAAGTGACATTTTCTTGATCAAAGCTTCTCACAACATCACCAGTAATGATGGCCAGAGCTGTTGCTGTGTTTTGGTTTTCCTCAATTCTGTCTGCATTGACGGAATAATTATATACTCGGATATTATTTGCAGTTGTATGTCATTTAATCGTACATTGCAATGTAACATATGTTGTAATTCTAAGTACACGGAACATCTTCGCATATGCTGCTCAATAGCGAGCTTTAATTAACGATCATTTATGATATTTATATTTACATGTCGTTATTTGCAGTTAGAGTCTACATTCGATAAATTTATTCAGCAACGTAATTCTTCGTTTTGATGGCATATAACCGTTGATACGAGCTGTTAAGAATAGCTCTAGCATCGTTTACCGGCGAAGTAGTTGGAGTGAAATGAAGGTATCTGAAAAGCTTCCGAGTATGTGATGCAAAGTCCGTTTGATTACACTCCCGTGTATATAAATTCACTCTGTAATAAAACAGAAACGACAGACACATACGCTAGACCAGCGGCTGCTGTATCATAAGCGTCCGTAAGACACTTGAAGAATACGACCCTTTGGTTGGTTTAGTAGCAGAAAATATGAAAACGTTGAAAGCATTAATTGAATCAAATTAGTTTAGCATCATCTTATCTGAATGTATGTTGTTTCTTGAAACTTAGGTAATCGTAAGCAAAAGGTAAATGACTCTCATCTACTGTGCCTGTTTCTTCAGGTGTCCCTCAGGGGCCTATTTTAGGTCCTTTGCTGTATTTAATAACCAGAATCGTATCTTAGAAATGCTGTATCAAATAAACAGTGAGTTTTTTACGTTTTCGGTGCTGTTTTTACCGCAAATCAACTGTATTATTTCAAACGTACCTGTCCCAACTTTAAGATCGCCCTATATTGATAAAGCTTATCCAAGATATGAAAAAAGTATTTCCCTAAAACCTAAGCCAACATTTGATAAATGTGACGGGTTTTCCATCCCACTTCTGATACCAATCTCCATGGTTCCACCAAAGAACATAAAAACATATATACGTCTACTCGTCATATCCGTCTCACAAGCATTGCCAGAAGCGCGTTGTTCCTCCGTCAATGCGCCGCATTCAATATTTAATAATATGGGGCGCGTTTCCGTAAGGCGAGAGGAGAAAGGTCTTTTGTGCCGACCAGGATAGAGTGCCGTAAAAATTATTTATTCAAGGTGGTTGGTGGAGTGACCCGGAACTGTTGTTTCCATTTTAAGGCCTGCCTGTTCGCTATGAAATGGACCGCTTGCTCTACATGGAAATATATCGCGCAATTTTCACCGTTTTAATTATTTTCTACATACAGATGGGGCAACAGGAACGGTGAAAATTATTTTCAGAGAAGGTTTACTACTGACTGTGGAGAGTGGAACTGCAAAGGAGGCAAGCGTGGGTGTAAGTACGAGCGCCATCTGAACAAAAAAATCTATACCAACTACCCTCAATCCGGGCGCTGGCTGTGTTGGTAAACTAAAAGTTTACACATGCACATAGGTTCTAAAAAACAAAGCAAAGCTGGAACACTCATACAGCATATCGAGTTGAAACGCTACCGAGGCTTCGCGAGTGCATGCAGATCGTTTTTGAGGTCCTTCGCGATTTCTTTTCTTTGTTTGGGTGAAATGTCGTCGGTAAGAGTATTTCAAGCATACTTTGTTTCATTTACCACTTAAATATGGAGGATGGACATATTGCGTATTGGGGAATTAGAGTATTCGGCCAGACACTATTTTGACATCGTTGACATATGCGCATGCGCAGTTTGTCTCACTATTACCGACGCGATGAAAATAGTAGCTGCCTCTAATCACGTAGAATCAAACTGACACAGTCAAGGCCTTAATAGAGGTTCTTGACAACTTTGACATTCCTGACAGGTGTCAATACTGTCAGCTTTTTCAAGCTGTATTTGTGCTTTGGATAGTTTTCGTTATTTGATTTTGATTCTCATCTTCCGATTTGATTTTCGTTTTCGAACTTCTGGCGGTGGTATGTGCTATTTGTGCCAGTTGAGTGCCGATAAATTATTGTAATTGATGAGCTGACAACTGTCACTGAGCCGCACACGAAGTCTAAGGCCGTGTCCCAACCATGAAATCAATATGTGTATTTTTAAATCACGGTACAGTCGTCAAAATACGGCCTCACCTTATAATTGTCTAGCATTATGGACTTGTTCAATAATTTCCTAATTTATGGCGGTCAATCAATTGGTCATCAGTCATATAAGTGTATTCCTTAACCTTCACGTTCGGCTCAAGGCTGCCAACAAAATTCTAATAATAGCTTATAAAAAGAAAATCCTTTATTCGTCAAATGACGTTTGTATTATTTTGAGAATCGATCGATGTTAATGCGTTATGAAATACAGTCTCGATATCCATGTGTTATACCTGATAATCAAAGTACTTTATAATACCGATTCGATTTTTATCTAGCTTATGTATGGACATATTATAAAGGATACACGATGGCGGTAACCATCTGCCCCATGGTGGGATTTCTATAGAATGTTACATCCAGTGTTGGACACAGTTGCTCCTCAAGGTCTCCTTGTTATGAGAACGCCTTAAGGCTCCCCAGTACCCAGCGCATGATAGCTTGATGCGAATTTTCGACAGTGTTGTCGGGTCTACCGATTTTCGTCAGATCGCCACTTTTAGTCATATTTTCATTACCGATTTTAATGCGAAATCTACTGAAAATTTTCTCGATTTCTTAGATAGTTCATAGCAACCCTGCGCTTTCCAATTTTTTAAATACATTCAGCATTTGATGCTACTCCTTTTCCGATTATGAATTTTCAAAACCGAGTAGAGCTGAAGAAAGGTTCCCCCTTCCTGAATATTCAAGTTTCTGATTTTTGATTTAATGTCCTACAGAAATTTTACAAACCTCCTAAGCATATCGACTTGCCAACACTGTTTTTCGAGTCAATTTCCTCAATTTTGAAAATCTTGATGATAACTATATGTGAAATTCCGCTTTAACGTTCCTGAAGAAAGCGTTAATATAATGTTATTTCAATCTAAGAGAGATTTCTAAAACGGCAACTCAATCCAAGAATGTCTATAAATGTACCCTTAGTATCTGTTCATCTTCCCTGTATAATGCGCGGAGCAACAACCAAGCAAGTGGTCTAGTAAAACAAGGCACGATCGCCTTTGAATTGATCTGGTAACTACGTTTACATCGGGTTGCTTCAAGCGATTTAGTGGAAGTGATCTTATCATTTAAACTACAAAACAGGTGGATTTGAAACTGAAATTACATAGTCAATATTCTTTTAGTTCTCATGGGAAATTAGCCCTGTGGGGTATGTAGTTTCGAATGTATTTTTAATCGAAGAAATAAATCACTGAGTACTCGGAAATACTCTTGTAATTGTATATGGTCGTAGTTGGTAATTTACAAAAGTATTTTACTCTAACTATATTGACTGAAATTTGAAAAATAGTAAACTTCTATTCTAGTCATAAAGTACTGATAGTAGCAAGATTCCAATTAACAAAATGTTGCTAGATGGTACCTATACTTTTGCTTTAAAGTATAGTCATGTGTCAATTTAATCCAATAATTTTTTCACCACAAATTTTACCTTGCTAGCGTGACTCCTTTAAAAAAAGTATTTGAAAGTGAATGCTATTTAGATGTAGACGCGTTAACAATTGGGAAGTACCTAATCAATCTACTCAACTCCATACGTTGAATAAAACGAGAGGTAGACAAACAAATCTTATAAAAGTCCAACTGATATTCTCACTGACATCAAGCAAATGCAGTTACCACTCCGGCACTGACGAATGTATCTCTCGCTTGCTCGGTACTATTTCTATCGTTGAACTTGCCGGCCGGCGCGTTAGCCTTGAATTAGAAGTACTAGCGGAGGACAAAGACCTCTACGACTAGGTTCTTCGCTTCAGCAGAAATACTACGTGGATAGAAGATATTCTTCACTAATTTCTACAGGGCGCGATACGTATAGCTGGCAGGCCGTACCAAGCGGCGTTGCCGATACTTACGATGGTACGACTTGCGTTTTTGATTGTCTGCAAGAGGGTGGATGTAGTATGTTACGAGAATGAGAAAATGGTAAAAATGAAAGTACTAGGGGATACGTACGCACTGTGCTACAGTAGAAGTATCAAGTACTAAGGTGAATAGATATTCAATATGTCTACAGATCGCGATATGTATTGCTAGTATGTCGTACGAAGCGGTGTTGCCATACTTACGATCGTACGACTTGCGTTTTTGATTTCGTCACATGTGGTTAAATTAAGTATAGTAGAGCAGGACAACGGTAAGATTAGAAGTACTAGCAGAGAAAAAAGTAACGAGTAATTTGTTCGCTACAATACAGTGCTGGATACTATGGTGAAATGATTATCTTCACTACTTGTACAGCTACAGAGTGCAACACGTATAGTTAGCAGGTCGTACCAAACAATGTTTGCTGATACCTAAGATGGTACGACTTGCGTTTCTGATTGGGTAGAAGAATGGTAGCTTTGAGAATAACTACTAGATAAAAACTCTATCGCTAGATTCTTCACCTCAGTAGAAGTACCGGGTACTATATCGTCACTATTTCTACAGACGCATAACGTAGAGCTAGCAGGTCGTACCAAGCGGTGTTGCCGATTCTTATGATGGTACGACTTGCGTTTTTGATGTGTACACATGTGGTTAAATTAAGTATATTAGAGCAGGAGAAATAACGGGTACTATGGTGAACAGGCTGTCTTCACTATTTCTACATGACACATACCGTATAGCTGGCAGGCCGTACCAAGCGGTGTTGCCGATACGGTGGTACGACTAGGTAAGAATCTCTTCAGCTACACTCTTGTTGCATCTTGCATAGTTAGCAGGTCGTACTAAGCGGCGTTGCCGATACTTAGGATGGTACGACTTGCGTTTCTGATTAGTGTGCAAGGAGATGAATTTACTATCTTAAGGTAAGAGAATGGTAACATTAGAAGTGCGACCGGGTAAGAATCTATACGAGTGTTTTCTTTACTACAGTGAAAGTACCGCGTACAATGGACTACACACTGTCTTCGCTATTTCTACAGGTAGTATAACATATAGCTAACAGATCATATCAAGCAGTGTTGCCGATACTTAGGATGGCACTACTTGCGTTTTGATTGATCTGTAAGGAGGTGGATTTCGTGTATTAGAGCAGAACGATAAACCAGAAGTACTAGCAGACTAGATTGATTACTACGGTAGTACTACCTGATACCAAGGTGCATAGATTCCTTTCACTGTTCATCCAGGGCACATCAGGTATAGTTGGTCGATCTACTGAGCGGTCTTGCCGATATGCAACAACAAAATAGACTGATACTGGCCAATTTACTGCATGACTCGTTGATCCCCCTGTACATAGCATTCGTTCAATTATAGCAACAGTTCGATACAGCATGGCGCATACAGCTTCAGGCTTCAATCCAGCTGGGCTGAATTCAAACGCTGTTTCATTTTCTCCTCGTCCAATATTTACCTGCTGATTGTGTACGTTATTCACTTTGCGACTGCTGGCTTTATTAGCAGCCCTTTAGAGCCATTGGTGGCGGTCTACAATCCACTGAGGCACACGTGGCTAACCACCTACCTCGTTTGCGAGGCAGAATAGTATCGTAGAGACTAGCTATTACAGATGAGGCAAATCTACTATTATCAACTATTCATATAGGTGCTGTTTGTCTCCACGACTAGACTTCTACCGCACTGATGATTGCGGAAAAGCATGACACGCCGTTGTATGAGGCTGGTTAAGCTCATCCCATTCAACCTTCGATGACTCAAAGGAACTGCTTGGTGAAGTTGGAACTTTAACAACATCACTATTAAAGGACTTTTTCCAAAAAATTTTGATAATGTGACGCCGCTGGTCTCCTGTAAACTTTTGCTAGCATCGAATCGTTATCGTGTTTTTGCGCGCTGCAGGTAAAGCGTAATGTTTCCAGAAAATGGAATGGTATCGAATCATCAAGCCTGATTATTCGGCTATTTCTTTGTGATTTGCTGTGTACCTTTCTTTTTCATCGCGTTGCATGACATGTTCACGTTGCAATTTCGTGTGTTGCCTAATGGACTAGAAGTTGAAGTTTGACGGTTCATCGTGTTTCGGGCGGTATTGATGGATTTTAAATGCTCTGTGAAAAAACTTATTAGTCTGAAATTAAGTATGAATGGGGACGCTTTAACGATCATAAATCCAAGAAAACTCGAGTTACTTGAACATCTGGCACATGTTGCGACAAATCTGCCCGACCAGGTGTGATTCCTTTTGAATAAGCTGCACATGCAAGTTGTTATACTGCATCGGTATTATCATCATTGAATGTTCCTAATTTGCATGGAATATGGATTCTTGTACCTCGAAGGCAAGACCGGACGTCTTGACGCTGATTGGCCAACTCAAACGGCTTGACTAATATATCCCGCGTAAGAGAGTGAATGAGCACCCAGGTCTATGGACTCTCGAATAGTTTTAAACTGCATAATTATTGCTTTCGGGGCTGTATCTAAGAGGTGGGGTTTATATTGTTTTCATAGGATCTCGTTTTCTAGTCAAGGAGTCCTTGGTAAGCAGAACAACCCTATCTGAGATCCGGCGGCGTGGACCGCCATCTTATCGCTTGTACAGTTGCAGGATATCCAACTATTGCTCAATCCTGCTGAGACTACACAATCTGCCGTAGTAACTGAAGGTTGGGGGTAACGAAGTTTCTCACTGAAAGAACTAGGTGTTTCCTTTATTAACAAACAAACCCTTTGACGAACTAGTGAAGGGTTGCGTTCAGCCGCCCTTGGTCCGTCACACTATCTTACGCCTGACCTCGCACCATCGACCTTCGCTTTCGTTTCCTTCCAGTTGAAAAACAGCGGTGCGTCAACGTGCACAGTACCCTCATTATTTTCGCAGGCATCCTCCCGCTCCTTAGACCCTTCCCTCTCTTCCCGGAAACACGGCCGAGCAGGTGAATATTGCATGCGGGACAATCAGTCGGAGAGGGCGATCGTTTAGAAAACGCGCGTCTGGCCGACCCTTTAATAATGCAAGCGTTGCCGGCTTTTTGACGCTCGTGCGATGCAAATTCACCGAGCAGGGGCGCCTTTTCAATGTGTGCGATCTGTGGCAGAAAAGTAATGGAGGATTTTTATTTACCATTGTTTTTCGCGCAGTATTTCGTGTCTTTCAAACCATTTATCTGTCTTCTGCTAATAAGCACGAATGATAGCTGTCTGATCAATCGATATCATTTCCTTCGAAGCAAAATCACAGGGACTTAGATCAGGTGAATATCGAGACTTGGGAAGCACTGACTGCCTTTTGAGGTCAAAAGTGGAGATGGCAGCTCAAGGTGGGGCGTTGCCATAATGAAACACCCACTTCCCTGCAATGTCCTCCTCTCAAGCGGAAGAACCGTTTTACTTCCTACGCCTCTGGCGAGAAACGAAATTGTACCAGAACTTGTTTCCAAGGCGCACTATTCTTGACCGTAAGTGACAAAGTGACCCAGCCATCTCATCATCGATCTCAACGTACGTCACGCGTTCCTGAATTTTCCTCTCCCCGCTTTCGCAGCAAAGCTTATTCTTGAACAACAACCGGTCGTTTTCCGCAATGTAACGTTCCCTTTGTTAGCAGCAAGCTCCAGCGCCAACCAAGCAGTCGACTTCATCGACCTTCCTGCTTTCGTCGCTACCTTGCTCGGTGCCTGCATAAAAGACTCCCAACCCGAATGGATTTTGATAAAGCGGGTACAACAGGCGACTCGCGAAGCAACGGTGCCAGATTGGCGCACATTGATAAATGTTCATTTTAGACCGGTAGCGTGTATGGTCTAAAAGGTATGCTTGCTTTGACAGACATTGGGAATGACATATTATTACTAATTTTGAGAGTCAGGATTATAAGTGGTTAATGATTTTTTCTGAGACTGATTGATTTGTCCAGTGTTGAAGAGACTGCCAACAATCTCATTACAATCTTTTCCACTCTTGATGTAGTTTCTCTACTGAGTTCAATATATACTGGGTGACAAACAAAGGTAGGTACGTTTATTAGAATTCGAGATATTTAATCTTTTTAGTGGTAATTTATCAATTATTCTATTACATACGTCAAATACTGTTGCCATCGAATTATCACGGTGACGTTGCCTCTGTGACCGCTTGTGACAATTGAGTCAAAATGTTCTTTCAGGAAACTTTTCGTTTTATTTAAAAGATTGTGGTAAAAGGAGTGTTTTTTATTGTTGTGATAATAAATAATTGGTGGAACGAGTAGTGAAAATATTTCTATCTGTACCATTACACTGGACAACAAATTTTAGTTTTTTAATTGTATCTTGTGGGAAAAGTGCACTTCTTTGTTAATTTTGGGGCGCTGAATCCAAAATGACAATGAAATAAAAAAATTAGTTGCGGTTTAGAAAAAACTTTTTATTTTTTAAGGATATATTAAAAAAAGTAACAAGATTCATATACTTATAAGAATCACTATATGCGCTGTCTTTTTGCTGTTCTTTTATGGATCGTTTCTGGAGCATCTCTACCAAGAGTCCAACAGTAGTCTGCAAGCATGGAAGGATTCCACTTCCCTGGTACCTTTTTTTCCATTGTTGAAATATCCTGATGAAAACGTTCGCCGTGCTCATCACTTACGGCTCCGCAATTGTCAGGAAAAGAGTCCAGGTGTGAGTGTAGGAAATGTATCTTAAGAGACATATTACAGCCCATCTTTTGATACGATGACAGCATATTTTTGACATGGGTTTTATAGTTGTCAGCTTTTCTATTTTCCCAAGAAATTAGTGACCACCAGACGGAAATCATTCCAAGCAGTTTTTTCAATACCTGGTAAAGTGTTTTCAAACTGTGTATCTTTCAAAAATATTTCGAATCTGTGGCCCAACAAAAATACCTTCTTTAACCTTTGCCTCACTTAGTCTTGGAAATTTCTGACGCAGGTATTGAAAAGCTGACCCATCTCTATCTAATGCTTGACAAAGTTTTTCATTAGGCCCAACTTGATATGCAGTGGTGGTAATAAAATTTTTTTCGAATCTACTAATGGCATAGGCTGTATATTTTTTGACCTGGCTCTAGGAATTGACGAACAGGCCAGTTTTGTCTGTGTAATGAAGAGCCTTTGCCCGACTGTCCCATTCACAAAAAAACAGCAAAAATCTGTGTAGCCTAGCTGCAGCCCAAGTAAAAGTGCAACAACTTTCAAATCGCCACAAATATGCCATTGGTGCTCATCGTATTTTATGCATGTCAATAGGTACTTCATATTGTCATATGATTCTTTCATGTGAACTGCATACCCTACAGGAAGAGATGGTAAGTCTTTGGTGGCGTTTACGAAAAAACACATACCGAAACATCGTCTTCTAACAAGTTCCACTGCTGCAGTCTTGATCCAAGTAACTCTGCCTTACATTTTGGAAGTTCTAAATCTCTTACAAGATCATTTAATTCTGACTGTGTTATTTTGTGCGGTTGGTGGCATGACGTGCTCGGTATAAAAATCAGGATCTCTTGACGTTGATGGCATATCTTCTTCCCGACGAATCACCGATCGCCATGATCTGATTCGTTTTCTGATTCGCAAGTGTAGGATTCTGGGGGTTTTGGAATAGGATTTTCGTCACTGTGAGGCACAGGTCTCATCGCAGATGGTATGTTTGGGTAGTTAATAACCGATTTTTTTTCTTGGACATACCTGTGGCTTGTCCAACACAAGGTACCATGCAAAAGTAACAATCATTAATATGATTTGTAGGCTCTCTCCAAACCATTGGGACAGCAAAGCGCATAGACCGTTTTTTTGCCATTTAACCAGCTCCTCAGACTTGAAGCACATGTATTACAGCAGATGTAGGGTGCCCACTGTTTGTCTTGATCACCTAGTTTACAACCGAAATAAAGCTGATAT